GATTGTTCTGGTTTCATGCTAGTGCTCGAGGGCGACATCGACTGGATCAAGAGGTCGCACGTTCTTCCTTTAAGTGCTTTCACACTTGCACAAAACTCCTGAAAATCTACTGATATTTGCAGTATGAGCCAAATTTTTCACACAGAATTTATCCGGAGTTTCTCCTGCAAGCCCCCTAGTATTTAGAGAACGCAGCACAATATCATCAGGAGAATTTATCTTGTGCAAGTTTGAATGCACATGACCGATAGGGTCTCCATGCACATAATGAAACGGTATAGCATTATGTTTTCTGTTCTCCAGAGTCTTCTTCACAGCTCTTATGTTGATATTTTGATAATTGAACTATAGCATTAATATCAAGGCAAATATTCTCATTATAGCATTGAACAGCTGAGTCTGTCACTTTGTCCACCACCTCTGCATCCTTCTTTTTAAGTCAAGTCTTGCCTCAGGACACCCCCCGCCCCACTCCCATTTGACCAGGATAGTCACCTGCTGTGAGGTGTATTTGTGTAAGACCAGATCAGGAGGATTCAGAGGCAGCCCTCCAAATTTTCAGGAGTGCATTATGTCAAAACGGCTAAAGTCTAACATTTTATCAGTCTAGCCCCAGATTCTGCACCACAGGAACAGAGAGACATTACCAAAGACAAATCCAAACACATGCAACTTGATATTTTACCAGCCTGCTTGCTACAGTTTAAGTTATAAATGCACTCAAATCCATCTGGTGTTGTCATTGAGTAAACATCAAGCAGAAGTGTTGCAGCTGCCAAACATCAGTCCCACACAGTCATGCTGCAGTGGCAGCCGATAAAGTTGTTGAAATGGCCTCTAAGGATATTATAAAGTTTGACAATCTTCTCACAAAGTTGCAACTCCCTGGAGAACTTTTACACATAGCAAAGCTGTGATGACAGATTGGATGAGAGTAGATTGAAGGACTGGCTGCTTTCCATAGTATCCCATATTTTGCTAAAAAGAAGAGGATGTATGTTAAATGTCAAACTGTCTCCTGTTCTTGATGCCAATCATTCCAGAATATCTTGCAATGTAGTCATCACCTCTTTGGCATATAAAAAGTTTCCTTGCCATACATATAAGCCTTGTTATATGGCACTTCGGACAGAAAGGCTACACAGCTTCATGGAAGTGGGACAGCCGGGCAAAAGTAGGGCTGTTTGCTTATAGCAAAAATTCTAATCATGATTATTTGTGGTTGATATTGAGATCTGATCATGATTATTATACACGATAACTTGTTGTTTTTACATCATTTGCAGCACTTGCATTTATCAGAATTGCAATAAAACAAGTGAAAATATATAAAAAAAATATATCCAAAACTTCATATTATAGTTAATAAAAATAGAAAATTATAAGCAGAATGCGCCAAAATTGTTTCATCTCAATTATTTTGTTTACATGATCGTGGGAAGCCAAAATCATAATTAAAGTTGATTAATTTTCCAGCCTAAAGTTGATTGATTGACACATGAAAAGTAATATGAGTCAGTAAGCATATTGTGTGCGCTCTGAAGTTATTACACAGGTTAAAAATACACTGCAGGAGGAACATCCAAAAGCGATTTCTCTTTTACTTAAAAAAAGTCCCGACTTGTGACACTATTTACATGATCTATCCTCGTTCTTTTCATTGCAGTGGGCTTTCCATTATTGTTTCTTCATGACTTATTTCAGCCCATGTTTCACTGTACTTTACCCCACCTGTCAACGCTTCCCAGTTTTCTTTTCCTCGTCTCGGCCTGTGAGGACTGTGATAAACTGGCAAAAGAGAGACTAGATGGATTGGAAGAAGGCAATTGAAGAAGAGGCAGAGAGAAAGAGGGGAGAGAATATGATACGAGAGAGCAAATGATGGTGGTAGTGATGGTGCTGAGTAAGTTGGTTGCATGAGAATTCAGTATTATGAGGTCTAGAAGGGAGGGGGGGAGAGTGGTGAAAGAAAAATGGCTTTCACCAAGAAGCTTTTTCTCTTCCATTCAGTGGACAGGACTCAGCACCAGATGGTTTTCTCATTGAAAAACATATTAAGCAAGATGGGAATAAAAAGCAGACTGGCAGGGTGTGGTTATCCAATAAAAACATGCTGCACACTGGTTTTACAATCAAGTTTTGTTTCTCAAACCATCTCTAGAACCTTTTGAGGGGAATAAATGCTACGCAGATGATGTCAGTTTCGAGAAGATTAAATTGTTCTTAAGATACTTTTATCAGCAGCCAATCGAGTCACCTCAGTCTAACTGCATGACAGCTGCTGAAGCAAGTACAGTGCTGCTGCCGTTGTTGAACAGCCCCCAAAGGAGCTCTGATGGCCTGTACCAGTGTGGGAAACAGCCATCAGGAGTAAAATGATATGACGTGCGGAAAACATATTGCAGATTAAATTGTAGCTGTAATGTTGTGGTTCCACAGTATGCTGAAATTGCAAATTGGCTCTCTGCGGTGATATCGCCGGCCAGATAACAGCAATACTGGAAACTGGATACCTCAGATCTGTGCTTAATTTGGTGGAGCAATTAATCGCATTCACGGTGCACAGTAATTACAAAGAGAAACACTCTGTGCACAAGCTCAACTAAAAGCCAAGAGATGAAGAGCAGTATAGCTCTGGAGTGTGGTGGGACATGGGAGCAGCAGAGTTGGAGATCAGAGCACGCTTCTGTGGGTAGATGCAAATATGGACACAACTGGGCACACAGCATGGTACAACCCACTTATACCCTCAACAACCAATTATCCACCTGCTCTCACCAGCTGAGAGCATTTTCATCCATGCAGGAGAGGTCCTATTTAAAAAGGCAGACAGTCACATGGGAACAGTGTGTCTCTGGACGGGGACCCATCTGCCCATCTGTCCGTATAAATCCCTTTGGTCACCCTTAAACCCTTTGACACCAAACCGACAACATCAAATAAATATGTGTCTGCATTTGCCAGGAAGACCGGGTAATCACACTGAGCGACACAATCCCATTCCATCCAGGGTGAAAACAAGTCCCTGTACAAAGTTCCTGATCCAAGCACAATCACACACTATACACAAAGACAACTGGCTCAGTCCGAGTAAGAAACATATTACGAAAGGTGAAACAAAAAAAAACTATAGCAAATTAATTGCTAATTTGCCGACTCTTGTAGTATTTGAAGCTGTGACATTTTTTTAACCTTGAAAACCTTTAAACTTAAACTTTCATTTTACCACAGATATGAACACACCCACTGTTTTTCATGAGAGGTCAGTGTGTGCGTGCAGCCAGGCTCATTGTCTTCACAGACTCAGCATTTTTCAGCTCATTGTTCGGTTATGTAGTTTCAAAAACAACTTCAGGCCACTGCTTCCCAGCACAGGAGCTTGCGCATGTGACTTGTACAGCATGGAATGATGAAGCGCTGCAGTAAAAAGGTGGCTGATAAGCCAAGTTGAATATCTCACAACTAATAAACATAGATCCTCGATAGCAGAACCGAAATCCGGGGCAAAACAGCAGTTGCATTTGCACTTGGACTTAATATGTGGGGATAGTGATTCCTACATAGATGTGTTTCTGCTTCATTTGCAAGAAGCCATGTGTTTATACACACTCCAAGATAGCTTGATTTGCTTTAATACAGCATTAAAGCAGCCTAAAGGATTGCCGACCAAACAACAGCTCATTCATATGCAAGCACCCTGCTTGTACTTTTGTACTTCGGGCACATCCAAACCGTGTCTCAGTGCTCCTCTCTGTGCACTCAAGTCCGTCCCGCTGTCCTCAACTCACTTGTGGAGTCCAGGGACAATTTGTGTCTGCAGCTACAGAAAGAGCATCTGAGACCAACGCAGTGAATGATAGTTTTCTGGCACCACATGTCCACAGGGAGTCAGCGGAGGTGGTGCTGCAACAGCGATGTCCTTGATAATAAGATTCATCCTCAAGCTTAGCTTCCAAATCCAAACACAAAACAAGAGAAACATTGCAGCTGTGGAGAGAGAGAGAGACACTGGAGACGCGTAGCAGATGAATGAGCAACAACATGAAACAATCTTTTTTTTTGTGTGATTTAATCTGGTCGGGAAGATCCAGATGTACTACTCAGCTGCAAACAAACAAATAATGTATGCAGATATCACAGCTATTGAAGAAAACAATTAATTAGACTGCTGTCTGAGGAGTTGCTTTTTAGCAGCCTGTTTTATCTGCAGGTGCTCTGTTCATTAAAGTCTCAAATCAAAGCTGAAGAAGCCATATAGAAAGATAGATCACATCTTTGACGCTTCATTTGCTTAGATGCAGATAATTGGAAGTGCTAGATTGATTCAATTATGTTCGAAACTCTGAAAACAAAATATCCTACCGCCTGATTCATTCACTACAAAACTTTTCACTAAATCCATATAACTCTTGATTTGAATGATTCAATTCAAACATTTAAATGGCTAATCTATTGAACTGTCAGCATCATCTGCTGCTCCACATTTTATTTTTAGCAACCCCATCTTAAACTAAACAGTTATTTTTGGAGCAAGGTGACGTATAGGCTGTAGAACCATGACAGAGAAGAAAACGATCATTCGTCAGTAGGCTGTGATGGAGGTCTGCCGCTTATGCCATTCATGGCGAGGAGGTTAATATTTCGCCAAAGCAGAAACATTCACATGTAGGCTATTGACTGCCAAATATTAAAGTGATCCGTGATCTGATTTCATTTTCCATCAGACCCAGCCTGCAACAACGTGCTCTACCGGTGCAGTGGACTGCTGCGATGATGAAAGTCAGATAAAGTAGGCTGCGGTGAGGACAGCCTCTGCTTCAGACCACCAAAAAGTAAGAACTACCAGCTGGAAGAGGAGGGTAGCATAAAAATGTAGACTAGCTGACTATATTCCTCAAGTAGCCTAGCCTAAATGTCCCATTCCCCCCCCCAATTTGACAGGCTTGCAGCAAGCAAAACTTCCTGCCCCACAGGTAGAGAAAAAAAGGTAACAAACTTACCACCCCTGTGTCCAGCTGCTCGGTCGTCTGAGATGGAGCCGCTCCGGTCAGAGGTAAAAGCCACAATATCTGCACCAGCAGCAGCATCTCCGGGGAAATATGCCTCATCCACTTGTGAAAAACCGAAAAATTCATGATGCCCCTATGACAGGCTGGTCCTGCAGGGCTCAGACACCGACCCCGACAGCAGCATCCACGGGATAAAAGACACGCCGACAGTCGCGTGAAATGTTCCCTGCATAAGTCTACCTCACTGTGGAGCGCAAACACATGAAACACATTAAAAAAAACCAAGCGGCGGGAAGGACGCTTAGGGTTAACAAGTTTGTTTCAAACAAAACAGCACTTTGTAGCCTTAATTATAAGCTATGAAGACATGTCAGGTGGGGAAAATGTGTAGGCTATTCTCGTCCCAAATCAAGTCCAACAGAGGTTTTCCCCCCCTCCCCACGCAACAAGCAGCACGAGCTCCCCTCCTGTTCGTGCAGTCGCGAGCTCTGGAGAATGAAAGCAGCTGCGCGTGGTTTTGTCCGCGAGCAGCAGCAGCAGCAGCAGCAGCAGCAGCAGAGACCCCGCTCGTTGACGTACACTCAGGGAGGGTGCGTGAGTATTTTGCCCGAAGGACACGGGGAAAGAAGGGGGGAGGAGGTGCTCAGCGCGTCTTTAGTCCACTTGGATACTACTAAATTCATGACGTGAGTTGTAGCCTACGTAATTTCATAGTCTCAAGGGTTGAGAAGACCAAAAAACACGTGTCTGTGTTGCTCCCCTATCTTTAAATGAGAAATACAAATGTGTCGGCAGTAAGTGGGTTTGACATGCCCTCAGGCGAATCAAGCTTTGAATTTGTTGCATGATTATTATTATTTTTTTGTTGTTGTTTAATCTTTATTCCATCACGTAGTCTATCTCACACAGCAAGACATCAAAATGAAAGATAATCATAGAGTTGATGTTTTGTGCATCCTAAGTCTGACTCTGATTTTTAACAAACCCCCTTCATTTCTCAAGTTTTGGTGGTTCTGGTTGCAGTGGGTTCAAAATATGTAATTGCATGGCCAAGGGCAAAATTAATATGTGGGTCCTCTGTGCAAGGTATATTCACTGTTAGAATGATTAATAAGAGATATGCAACAAATTAGCAAATTTAAAGATGACTTTGTCCTGAAGGTCTTATTAGTACTTTATGCGTTTGGCCTGTCAGGAATGTCCATCTATCTGTCAGCTCCACGCTTTGGACATTGATATATGTCAATTTCAGTTGGCAAGTGAAATTTATTAGGCAAGGCAAGTTTATTTAAATAGCACATTTCAACAACAAGGCAATTCAAAGTGCTTTACACACATTTATAGAGCTCGTGTGATTATAGTTTTGCTTAGCAACATTTAAAACATTAACATATAAAATATATCCAAACTAAAAATATTCAGTGCCACATCTCCTGCTTTGAAAGTCCTACACCTTACCTTTATTCGTGTTCCTTTCACTTCTCTTCTAACCACCTTCTGCTCACTATTGCATTTTTCCTCCCATAACCTTGGTTTATGAACGCAGAGATATAAAACTAGAGACATTCTTTCAGCTGTAACTTGGGTTTCTGTTTTGGGTTCATTGTCAGCCTGCTCTTAGTCTGGTTGACACAAGGGCCCTTCCACACGACACCCTTTACATTGTGCAACAAAGGAGAATCCAGGTTAAAGAGCCTTAACACAAATTCAGATTTATCAATTATCCAATATCCAGTAACCTGCCACAGTTCCCTTAAATGCAGAACCCACATTGTGTAAAATCTCCATTATGGTCATTTATGGTGAATATCGTATAATAAATCCACCTTAAGCTAACTGACCTTTAGTCAGCATTCTTGGGTAAGGAATGACGCCATAAGCAATTGTCTGCTTAGTTTTTTATAATCATATACGTCTAAGTTCAGACAGGCTTTCAGAAGTAATTGCTGGAAACGATTGCGAAAAGGTAGTAGCGAGGATGAAAAAAGACAAAGTCATCTTCTTAGATAACTGGCTTGTTCTTTCAATGCATCACGGACCAAAACATCTTAAACTAGATCCTTGTAAAAGATCATTCCAATACTTCACATCCAAACCTGTATAGATCTAATTAAGTTTATCCTTTAAGGACAAGCGAAGACATCAATCAAACCCACTTTTCAGAAAACACAGACAAACATTGCACAAGATACAGAGGTTAAATCAGAATGAGAAATAAGCATGTAAGGAGTTAAAATACACTCAATTAGACATAAATATCAGCAAAAGCTGGGTCACTGAAGTAGAGAAACTGCAAATGTCTCTGAAATGCAAAGATGTTTTATTCTGTACCCCTCATTACACTTCTATTTTCGCCATATTTGAGAAACATCAGAGGAAAGCACAAAACAATTTGCAGAACCGCAGAGATAATTATTACATGAAACACTGGTATCATCCCACTGTGTTCTTCTTCTGAGAAAAGATTCATGTTCTTATTTTCTTTGTGTGCTGCATAATATCGAAACCCGGCAGGTAATGAAGGAACATGCCGTTATAACAAACAATAAGTAAGAGCTACATGGATGTGACATATTAACCCTTTAATAGACCAACTGATGGGTTGATTTACAAACAAATCACAGAATCAGAATCCAAGTCTGAAATATAAAACATGTTTTGAATTTATCACCCTCTATATTTCCTGGTAAGAACTGTCACGGATGCACAAATACACACCTTTTCTGTTTCTTATGCAGATCCATTAAAGCAGCCGTTCATCACCGGTCCAGAGGAGGAAGACATGAAAAATCTGTTTTTGCTCAGCAGCATTACGTTCTGCTATCTTACCGCTGAGGGCTTAAAAACTTCTCAGCCTTACTGCTTCTATCCCCAGTCAGCTTTGACATATATTGTGACTATTGAAGCATTTGAATATTGTGTCTCACAGCAAGTCTCTTGGCAAAAAGAAGCCTCAGTTATTCAGTTGAATATTAAAGGAAGGGGAGGAAAAAATCCATTAATTCAACACAGTCTGCTGTGTGCATTTTTACCTGAAGTCTTTCAATATCTTCAGACTATTTCCCAGAGACGATTTAGCTCATTCTCTTCTTTCTGATCATTTAAGTATTAGAAAACCCATCGCCCAGTGCAAACGTGGCCAGAATTTAGTGAGTCAGCTGTACTCATGCATTTTGATATTTGTTGTTGCATTTTCTGCCAATTTATTTGTACCCAAAGAGATTGCAAGAACTAATTCTCCTTGCCATAACATTAAGTCATGTAATATCAATGAGGATTTATGTGACTGTTTTTTGTGAAGCTTATGGGGAGATTCATGTTGATATATTAAATGGCTAATAAATGGTTGCATCGTCACATTACTTCATCTTGTTTATTCTTTGTCCTCTTTTTACTGTGAGTTTATGCTTACTGATGAACAAACATCTGTAGAATATAAATGAGGTCTCTGAATTGAGATAAATGAACACCTCTTCATATAAAGTTGACACATAAATAAAGCTCCAATATGAATATGCTCTGCATTTTCATAGGGGTTGAACGATAAATGTAAAAAGTTAATTTATAAAAAAGAAAGCTTTATCATCTGCAACTATAGAGATAAGACAGTCTTTGGAGTCATCTGACATTTTGGCAATGATTACCTAATCACAGAAAAATATGCAGGTATAAGCAGTTTGTAAAACTAATTTGCCTTTAAGATAAAGAATGAGGGTCCTAAGTCTAGACACTCCTTCTCTGTTCCCCCCTGGTGGTGGAATTGACTTCCAAACTCCATTCGATCTGCAGAGTCCCTTTGCACCTTTAAGAAAAAGCTAAAGACCCTGCTCTTTCATGAATACCGACGAACTTTATGATATTATTGATGACAATAATAATGATGATGATGGTTTTGTTTGATAATGACGATTTTAAGATGGTTTTGATGCTGATTCTAGCTCTCAAGAACGGCTGTCGATGTTGGGTTTTGCCTCTGTGCACTGCCTGTCAGCAACTGTGTGTCCAATCAGACTTAAAGCTGATCGTTTGCACTTAATGACGTTGTTTCCTCCTCTCTAGATCCTTGCTTGTGTTGTACTTACTCTCTGATGTACGTCGCTGTGGATAAAAGTGTCTGCTAAATGAATTGTAGAATTGTAATGAATCAATTTGGCATTTTGTATCATCAGACTAGTTATGATGGAAATCATCTCTGACCAATGAGATCATTTAGCAGGGACTTAAAACATTCACACATTCCTGCTCCCTCTTTAGTTCAGCTCTCTTCTTATCCAGTCTGGTGAAACAGCGACAAGTGCGAGACCCTCTCCTGACTCACAAAAATGTTGTTTGTGGTTTTTAAAATTGACTCTTTGCGCCCCCTTGAGACACAAAACAATGCATAAACAATATACAAGCTTAAATCAGTGAAATGCAAAAACTCACATCTGGGAAGTCTAGCTCTATTTAACCTGCCAGTGCGTATAAGCTGTACTGTAAACATTGTTTCTGATAACATTTATTTCGTTTAGATATCACCCAGCGCAGTAAAGTCAATGATTGCACTGTAATAAGTCAAACAGTGTCACAGACTCAGCTTCTCTTTCCACTTCTATGTCTCTCTCCCCTTCCTCCTTTCTCTCAAAGTCCTTCTTGCCCAATCTTGCTGTCACAGACTCGCTGACTTTGATGTACAGTTCTACTAAGACTACAGTGGCTCTGGGCTGCCCCACCATAAAATCTACAGTGGATGTGCATGAGGGCCCTCCTGCAGACTTTTCAGGCTTTTATACACACTCTTCTTTGCTTTAGGATGTAATGCATAATTCATATGATTGTGTTGTTTTTTTAAATGGGGATGGCAGAAGAAGCCCAGAAGTGTCCAACAAAAAAGGAGAACACAAACACAAACAGACACTGCTTGTAAGAAGATGTTTAGGTCTTGGTGCAAATATACTGCAGACATAGGTCATTTGCCAGTGCTTAGTTGTTTGTCCTGCATAATGACAGCTTTACCCTTGCTCATAATAGCTCCAGGGGTGGCAATGTTGGTGGGTGTGGCAGTCCAACACTTAAGTCGACACTGAAATATCTCAAAAGCTATGAACTAGATTGCAATAATATTTTGTGCAGACATTTGGAGTCCTCAGAAGACTTTGTTTTTTTCTCTAAGGGAACCTTCTGCTCCTTAGTTCAATGTCTCAACATCCTCTGCAGGGAAAGGACTGCCTTCAGATTCCCTGAAGTGTTAACACTTAACTATTTACAGACTTTTCATCCTAAGATTTTAATTTGTCCTATAGGCATTTTTAGTTTATGACTAATCCGCATGCTTTATTTTTTGTAACGTTAACATGCAAATATGCTGAAATGAGATCGTAAACATGATAAACATCAGCCTGTTATCACTGAGATCTTGTTTGCATGTTGACTAGCATTTAGCTCAAAGCACTGCTTTGCCTGAGGAAAGCCTCAAAAAGCATTAGCATGGCTTTT